TTTCATTTACACCAGTCGAACTTGCACGGCAATCACAAAGCCGGTATGCTAATCGGATTAAAGTGGAAATTGACAAAGCAGCGGACAGATTGATTCCTACCTGGTAATTATTTCCGCGTATGGCTACGTAATTGGTACGTAAGTTGGCATGTCGATGAATACCCGCGTATAGCGAGCGTAGGTTGACAGAAATGTCCCGATAATCGTCCGCACTACGTAGGTACGTAATGCACGCGCACGAAAAACGCGGTCGCGTGACGCAGAAATGCACAATCTATCGATGAGAAGTGTCCCCCCCTCTCTCTTTCTCTGTTCTCCTATTCCTCTTCCTTCTTTTTCCACGAGGACATGTTTTTCAACAAATTGCACGGAAATAGCGTCGAGTCTTCGATATCGCCGCGGTGCATTCATATCAGCCGGTTTTGTGAGCACTAAATATTTGAAAAGTAATAAATATTTACACGAGACAGCTTTATTGCCGTTTGAGGTTTGTTGTGCAATAGTTTTCTGTTTCGCAGCGCGTCCACCGATCGAGACGAATTTATAAAATCGCGCGGATGCACACTCACTCCCCCGTTGTTGATTTGATATTTCGGTTTTAATACCCGAATGCGCCCAGCTTCGTCCCGGGGATCCAGGCGAGTGGGGGGTATCACAAGTGGGCCGGAATATCAACAATCGTTTTCATCGGCGAATAGAAATATCCCACTGCCCGTATATAGCGCGGCAATGGATTTACACAATAGACAAGGTATATTTAATAGAACGATCAAAGCCATTCCGTTGCATCAGCCGCGCTCGCTCTTTGATTGTTACCCTGGAATGGTTATAGATATGGATTTCATTGTGCGAAATAGAAAACAAAACGAATATGCATGCTCTCTCTCTCTCTCTCTCTCTCTCTCTCTCTCTCTCTCTCTCTCTCTCTCTCTCTCTCTTTCTCTATCGCCGCTACCGCCTTACGTTGGACCTACCATCGATGAAATTGCAAGCGCCGCGGCTCTCTCTCTCTGTCTCTCTCTCTCTCTCTCTCTCTCTCTCTCTATTTTCTCCTACCCGAGAAAAACGATTATATATCAATCGCTGATTGCGGGCAAGAACGAGCGAGTTAACCAGATATCGAGGCACGTTCTGCACGAGTGACGCGAAACGATCGTCATAAATTCGAGATACTGATATTGAGACAGCTACACACGGTGAACGCGAAAGGTAACGTCCGGAAAATCCCGTCTCCGCGGAACCGTACCGTCGAACCGCCGCCGCTCGCTTCGCAAGTCCGTGTAATTAGCAAAGCGGAAGGAGCAGCGAGGGGAACGAATCGATTCCGTACTCGCTTACGCGGGAACCGTCCGAGGAGGATCCCGTCTCGACGTCAGCCCGACTGCGTCGGATAACGAATTCCGCTCGTGCCCGTCGTCGGGTTACTTACGTCGACTTGTATAATTATTCGATATCCCGTGCACCGTTGTCGACGCGGAACTTAGCGATTCCACGGGGAAGGTGTGTTGCGATGTCCCGGGTAAAATTTCTTGACGGTTCGACGAGACGGCGCCCGCCACTGAATATTAATGTAGGGGGAAGCGTGTCTCTCTCATCGGTCCGGGCCCGATAGAGGCCCGAGAGAGCGGGAGAGCAAAATAGCGAGAGAGAGAGAGAGAGAGAGAGAGAGAGAGAGAGAGAGAGAGAGAAAGGGATCAATCGATTTCCGAGCAGGTTGTTTCAGGAACGACGGTGGCAGTATCCCGCTAAAGTGATGAGATTCGGAAGTTCCGTCCTTTCACGGCGTTTAGCCGTCTCGTACGCTCGAGCGAATAGCGTAACGTTGTCTTCGCCAGCGAATACGTCTTCGAAGGTCGCGCGAGAGCAGCTTCGAGGCGAGCGCGAGAACTCTCCAACAAGAGCGGGTTATTGGCGCGGCAGGACTCTCGCCGATTCTTTCTTCCTTCCTCACAGCCGAGACGACTGCGAACTTCGCGATCGAATTTCCGCGCGATTTCTAAGGAAGCGCGCTTCCGCTCGTTTAGATAATTAATTGCATCGCTGACTACATCATGCTGACGGAGGACCGAAAGAATCGGCCAATGAGCCGCTCTTGTAAGCAAGCGGGGTCGGGCGCGACTTTACGCGAAAGCGGAAAGAACAATCAGATAAGGCTCTTGAATAATTGCGCAATCGCGTGGCTCCCCGCGATCGCGCAATGCGGATTCTTCGGCGCTCTTCTTGTCGAGTATTACGGGCGAAACGAATCTCCCTCTTTCTCCTCCCGGCGAGCCGCGGACGTGTCTGCATTCGTAGCGTAGGATCGGTCGAGGAGTTCAATCCGATTTCCAATTAACACGGGAGTGAAACGAATGAAAATTAAGATTAATGAATACAAAACGTCGCGCGTACATGCGCGCAACGTACAGGCAGCGATATCAATGGTGCGCCGTTGTGCAAACGCTGGGGGAAGATCACAGACGACCACGACGACTACTCGCACGATGAATAATTCGTTTCCATTGTGCGCGACGAATTCAAATTTTATTAAAAAGAGAGAGAGAGAGAGAGAGAGAGAGGGAGAGAGAGGGAGAAAGAAAAATAAACTGAACTTTTCCATTGACTCTGAATATTTTTCCTGATGATTTTTAAACGAGCCGACTTCGGCGTTGCTTACGCGTCGAATTAATTACGAGATGATAATCGTGTTCGTCAGAGTTCGATGTATTATTAGCTGGCTGCTGGAGTGAACCCTAGTTTACTCTAAAATTTTGCGGCTCTCTGTGCGTGAATCAACCGAATTCCAGTTCCGGCAGCAGTTGGATCGCCGCAACACCGTTTTTAACACAGAGAGCGCGATCCCGTAGCGTCACTGTATTATTAGTCGAAGAAAAATCGCATTGCATCGGCTCCACTCTCCTGCGTCTTCTCCATCGTGAAAAGACAGAAGATCAGCGGTGGTTAACACGGTAACGTTCTCACAAACAGTACGTGCGGTGGGCGCGCATCGGTTTCATGCAGGCTCGCGTAAAAATATTTGCTCTACTAACAACGCGACTACGTTAAAAACAGGAGTCGGTCCGTGCAAACAATGGCGTACGGCGTCACCGCCACACCATTGCCGTTGCCACCTACGCTACCAGCGAGTGCGTTGTTTTTTTTCTAACGAAAACGACGAATCAGTGCGGGTATAACACAGCTAAAAGTATATAAAGCTATGTCTGTCTGAAGTGCTCGTCCGCCAATAGCGCACTGCCGTTTATGTATTACGATGAAGATACAAGTGGAATTACGGTGCTCCGGCTTTTCTTTCTACCGTTAGTTTATACTCGCGTGTTACAACGCTTAAATATATAATGGCGTATTTCCGAGGTGAATGTGTTTCCGGGGTGAAACAACACCACTTTTTTAAACGTCTCCTTTTGAACTGACAACTTTTGAAAATACAGAAAGAGAGAGAGAGAGAGAGAGAGAGAGAGAGAGAGAGAGAGAGGCAAAAGAGAAAGAGAGAGAGAGAGAGAGAGTAGAGAGTTCGTCTCTCGACGAGATAATTACATTGTTACTTGGAGGTTGAATGAACGTGACTGGAAATATCAAGTGTCGAAGCGAATTTGTCTGCAGGAGCAACGAGATAGTAATTATTAAAGATCTGTATCTTTGAATTCGATATTCAATTATCAATTGACATTGATAATTATACATTGAACGTTCAATGGATTAGACATCCGCGTTCAGCTCGACGCACGTTATTTTTGATTCACTGACCGAATTGGTCCCGTCAAGATCCAATTTATCTAAAGCTTTCAGTCGCGAACCTTTTCGCGGTCGGAGTGTACCAAAATGTCATTTACTTTTAAATGTGGTATATTTTCTCAGTCGCTTTAATTATTACGATCGAAAGCGAAGTGGCGGAATTCGTAAAAAGTCGGCGCATGTTACCAGGTCGCCGCGACAATTTCGACGGGAGAGGAAGTTTGCGAGTTTCCGTAATGCGATTTAAGAAATCGCGAGATACTCGCGAGATAAATTCCGCTTCAAACGGAATTTAACATGCTTATCGGCGACGTGAAAATTAATTCGGCGAAACGGACTCCACAACGGCGCGATGCAATCGCGCGCGCTCGCGAGGTTGCTGATAAATATCAAATAAAGCCCTATAAAATATGCTCAACGTGCTCCGCGAGAAGAGCAACATACATGTTGTTTGAAACGCAAATTAGAACAAACGAAAAGCGCGGGGCACAAGAGATGTAACTAGTATGATAAACGAAAATAAATTAAATACCCATTGATTGTCTCGTATCTTTGCGATTCGTGTGGAGATTATTGCGCGACGCAATTACGTGACGTGTTTTGTATTATATCTCGATGTTTAATGTCTCGACAGGCATATTTCGTAGACGTATTATCGGGAATAATAAAGCAAATACAAAGGAAGAAAAAAGAAATCAACGACATTTGCAGTACAATTCATCGCACACGCGACCAACATCTGTTTTACACTTGCCGGAGAATTCTTTATCGACATTCCTGCCATTATTTACGCAACACTTCGTTTTCTCTGGTTGACGCAAGAGATCACACAAACTGCTGATACAGACGATATATTTTATTCGTGGTATATTAACGTTCTCCGATAGTCGATTCTCTTGTCTATACCTTCGCTGATATCGTTCAATCACGAGCAGATACATAAAGATCGACCGACACCGAGCGAATAAACAATGAATGAACAAACGAATGAATAACGAACGCAAATTTTCGGACGTTCGCATTTGCGTTCGTTGCGTTCATTCGCTCGGCACTCATTGAGATGTCGCTATATTTGGAATACCAGAAGTAACACTTGCGTTGAGAGCGCGTGTCGAAGCAAGTGCCATGTAACACGTGTCGAGGCCGACGAAGGAGGCCGAAGAACACGAAAGTAGATGGGGGGTGGACGAAGAAGTGGATTTATCCACCAACGAGATCCCGAAGTTCATAATGTGCGCTCGCACACACCGTGAATATGTATATACATACAGATCCCAAATGCCTCCTTGCGTCGCATTTTGATGTGATTACACGATTCATAATTGTTATCTTGACAATCCGCGATTCACACAACGCGGAGATATAATACAGCACGCCACGCTGCTCGCAGCTCTTTAGCTTAGCGCTCCTGTAACGGTGTTTTCTCCCTTCGCATCGCCGAGAAACATGGCTGTCGACGCCGAGAAGGGAAGGTACATGAAGCCGGAAGGCTCGAGGACTTGGGAGTACCTGGTCTGTCTCACCTGTAAGATATTCTCAAGTGATATTCTCATCCGTCGCGGCTAAGAATTCGTTCGTCACCGTGCTCGTCGAGTTCCGTGCTTCGTGAGCTCCGTGACACTTAAGCGGCGCAATTTTGCGAAATTCAGGTACTATCATGTCCACGGTCGTCGGACTCGTTCAGGGGTGGAACTCACCGGCCATTGTGGCTCTCATGATGCCGGACTCACCGATTCCGATCATCGCCTCCGACGCCTCTACCTTGATAGCCGTAATCTCTGTCGGCTTCGTGATATCTACACCGTTAAGCATGTACCTGATTGAGAAGATAGGGAGGAGGAAGGTCATGCTGATGAGCGCGTTGCCGATGATAGTCGGCTGGGGTCTCATCACGGTCGCCACGAACATTTGGGTAAGACGAATATATTCTCGACGACGACGGAATCTCCCCGACATCAGTAGAGAAGTTGCGACGAGCATGCGATATTACACTGCACTCACATGTTCGCGTCCAACAGCGTGTCACACATGTGTGACAGCAATTCTTTTTCTCCCATATCCTGCTTAAAAAGAAGTCTATTCTCGACACGATATATAAAGGAAGATAAAGGAAGAAAATCGAGCTGGATGGGGAACAAGTGAATCCTGATCGCGAACGTGTGAAAAAGATGAAATAAAATAAAAGAAAAACTGGCCAACAAATATGCGTTCGTAGGCGTGGAGACACACCTCATGAATTTTTTTCCGTTGCAGATCCTGTACACGGCGAGATTGTTGAACGGTGTAGCTGTCGGCTTGTTCCTAAATCCGCTATCGATATACATGGGGGAAATCGCGTCACCGTGCTTACGGGGGGCCGGGCTGACCATAAATATACTGAGCTTCAACGCCGGCATTCTCCTAGGGTACGTGATCGTTCCGCTTCTGTCGCTGTCGATGTCGTCGGCGATCTTCATGAGCATAACCGTCGCTTTCCTCATCATGTTTTACTTTATGCCGGAATCACCGTACTACTTAGCCATGAAGGGCAACATAGAGGACACGGAGGCGGTGCTGGAGAAACTGCGCGGCAAGACGGACGTCTCCGACGAGCTCGAGGTCGTCCTCGAAGCGATCAAATCCAAGAGTAGTCAGCGGACCGGCGGCTTAACGGAGCTGCTGACCGTGCGCACCAATCGGCGCGCTTTCATCATCAACAACATCCTCATATGCAGCATGCACTTCGGCGGCTTCTTCACGATGATCGCGTTCGTCCAGTTAATCTTCCAGTCGGTGACGAGCGTGTTCTCCGATCGTACGGTCGCCATAGTGCTGGGTGTGGTGCAACTGACCTCCGTGTTGATCACCGCCTTCGTGGTTGACCGGCTCGGCCGCAAGCCGTTGATAATGGTCTCCGGCGTGATGGTCGCGACCGCGAACCTCGTGATCGCTGTGTTCTTCTACATGAAGGACTTCCTGTACATGGACATGTCGTCGTACTCATTGGTGCCGTTCATCGCGACAATAGTGCTGATGTTCGCCAACAACTGCGGCGCAATCAGCCTTCATATAACCGTGCAGTCCGAAATCTTCGCCACCGAGATCAAGGCGCTCGCTACATGCCTCGGAGGCATCCTCGGCGCAGTTTTTCACATAATATCGGCCAAGACTTACATCCTGATGGCCGTCACCTGGGGCTACGGCCCGATGCCGGCCTTTCTGTCGTACTTCGTGACCGTGGTGATATGCACCGTCGTGACTCTCCGTCTTATGCCGGAGACGAAGGGCAAAACCTTTGTGCAGATACAAAAGGAGCTGGACAATTGAGAGCCGAGGAACGAACCAGCGCTTTTTCCGGTTGTTCGAGGAGGATCCTTTATTGGACACCGAGGGAGGCCATATTGCCTCGTAAATTGCGCGTCTTAAAGAAAGATAATTTCGTATCAACGGGCTCGCCGAAAATTTCTATCCGATCCTACGCGGCCGCCGCCGCCGCCGCCGCCGCCGCCGCCGCTGCCGACGATGTCACCGACGTCCTCAGCGACGGGAAGGAGGAAATTGAAAATCACGTCCGGGAACGGGAAGTCGAAAGAGATAAGCTTTCAAGATGCACGAGCGGCGCGAGCGAATTTGGGCAACCGCGTTGAAATTGCCCGCAATGTTGATGCACGTCGCGATAGAACGCGCTCATGGAACGCTGCATCTCTCTCTCTCTCTCTCTCTCTCTCTCTCTCTCTCTCTCTCTCTCTCTCTCTCTCTCTCTCTCTCTCTCTCTCTCTTTCGAGATTCGCTGGGGTATCGGTAGGTTCACACCACACTGACTGCGCGCATCGTTTGTATATCGAAGGGCGGAATGATAAATCCGCCGGCGCAACGACTCGGAATAATAGCCCGAGAAAAGAAAGTAACCGCCGCAATCAAGATCACACCTCCTGTGTCCGTCGATCGTGTCTATCGTCTCGCTACCTGCCGAGCCTGTCATAAAACTGTACTTTCTCGCAGTGTTCGACGTGTTCTCTCGATGCTACGATAGCCGGGTTCCGCGACACATTCCCGATGAATCGTCCGATTACGTCGCGACAGGTGTCGCGCGTCGGAAATTGACACGCAGAAGAAACACAGCTGGACGATAACGCGTGTCGAAATTACAAGCTATAGATCAGAGACGAACGTTGCAAGAGAGGCGGGATTAACGATAAGATCAAATGTTTGAGAATTTATTTGCGAGCGTATCGCTCACCACGTCGCCCGCAGGCGACGTGGCGATTAAATTATTGAATGTGCGTGAATGCTGATAGTGTGTGCGAATAATCGATGCGATTGCATACATGTAAAATATATTTAATAAATGCAGGCTATTCTGTCAAAAGAAAGGAAAGCAAATAACAAACAGAGAACCTAGTTTATTTTGCAAATAAATGAGTAAATAAAAAAAAATATTATATATATATATATACACACCGCATCCCCCTCTCCCGCCTCAAGCAATTTTCCGTGCGTCACATGAACCCCCGTCGCAATGCCAGCGATTTCCCCGACAGACGATAATCGAACGGCATCTATAGCGACTGACTAAGGGTGGACTTTTATAAACGGCGCTGCGGTTTCCATCTGGTTTAGATTGAATTGTTCTTCGCGGCGTTCGGGATAAAAAGTTTCGTCGTAGTTAGACGAAAATCAATCATTGCGGTTCTTTTCGCTATCGACGTGTCGAAAAAAAGCCCATTAGGTGTTTAATGCCTCTACCGGGCGTTCGGGAATAGCCAGAAGAACGGAACAACGATGGGATAGGATGGGATAGGAAAGGGAGAGTGAGGGGGAGGGAGCGGACGGAAATTGCACGGGCGAGACCTGCGTTCGCCCTCGCGACGCCGGAGGAAAGTTCCTCGCTCTTAATATCTGAGAATCACTATTCAGTCTTACAGAAATTGCTATTGGCAGGACCATTAGAGACTGGAATTAGTTTCGCGATCTCAGATATCCGGCCGCGAGGGAACGCGTAACGGCCGCCGCGGCTCACTTATCTTACTTCATACCTCGCATTAATACTCTCCGGCAACTCCATTCGCCCTCGTATTTTAGACATCCTGTTTCTAAAAATACCACTCCACTAGCCAATGCCCTGCGATATACGCGCCACCGCGATGAAGTGCGCAATTTTTACCGCTTTGTTCAAACGAGAGAGAGAGAGAGAGAGAGAGAGAGAGAGAGAGAGAGAGAGAAAAACGCGACTGTCGTATCAGCGAAAGCATCGTCCGCGTATCAGCACGCTACTCGAATAAACATGTATTAATTATCTCACGCGAGCGACTCAAACATAATGCAACAACGTATCCGAGTGATAAATATTTATCCGATGGCGGCGCAACTTTTACAACACGTTTAAGTGACCGAGTGACGGTGTCATAATTGCTCTAATATACTTGCCGCAATTAACACAAATATTTATTCAAACGACATTTTAATTGCACGCGCGCTCGTCACAATTCAACTTGCGCCATATTGTATGCCGAAGCCATTTACGCGGCGACGGATTCGTCTTGGTAATAAAACATCCAGCACCTGAGCGAGGTCTAATGCATGGCACCGGCCAATACGTCGGCCGTTGCACCCGTCTCAGGAATCCGTGATCGAGGTGCTCCTTGGCAATTCCGGCGCGATTGGCGACCGGCGGAATCGAACATCGCGCGTCCGCTCGTCGCGAACTGTCGTGGATGGACAAACAGAGATATCCAACGTGCACGCAGCCCATGCACGTCGCCATCATCAACATACGAGTGGTCGCACCGGGTCGGCACGGCCAGAGCCTACATTGTGCATACAATTGTATCATCAAGGCAAACACACTAACGATAGCCGGAGCCACGCGGACAAACAGCGTTGCGCAAACAAGCGCGTGGCGTCATGAAAGCTGTCGATGCTCCGCATAATACGACGCACCCGGCCGCCGATGCGTCGTCGCCTCCAGGATTACTCCGCTGCTCTCTCGGATCACGAACGCGATCATAAGCTGGAGATTTTGTAGCTTCGCGAGGGATCGTGAGACGGGACAGAAGGGGGAGGCAAGGAGGAGAGTCCTTCGAAAAGGACGGTGACAAGCGGCGATGACGGCCGGCGCTCTTCGTCGGGATCGCCGAAAGCACAGCTAGAAATCCCGACGAATGTGCCATTTCGTTGTCTCTCGCGCGGAGAGTCATCTCCGGAGGATAGGAGGGATCGAAGGACCTCGTTAGCCGCTTCATGTCGTTCGGAAGCGCTCGTTCGTTCGGTTTGGCGTCCGATAAAAATAAGGAACGTAAAAATGTTGCTTCCATCGGTCGGCGGAGGATACGAGTTGCGGTGACGGTGGCGGCGAAGAGCGCGAGATCACATTTGAGTGGAGTGATTTCACCTCGCCGACTTTAACGGTGCGCTTATAGAATCAACGTTTCGCTCTCCCTTGCCCCCTTCGCGCAATTCTCTCTCTCTCTCTCTCTCTCTCTCCGTACATTCGCTGGGAAAATAGTTTATAAAAAAGTTCCGTAAACTTCCTCGCGCACAAGGACGAGGTGTAACGACGACGTGGGATTGACCGTGAGAGAAAGAGAGAAGAGAAGAGAGAGAGAGAGAGAGAGAGAGAGAGAATAAGAGAAGGGAAAAGAGGGAGAGCAAGATAGATGGATAGGATGAATCCATCGTGACCAGCGGAGTGCGCGAACGTCACGCGCGAGATAAACTTCTGACGCGCTTCTCTCGCATAGCCTCATAAAATTTAACTCTTTATGGCGCTTCTTAAGCTCACGGCTACTTTGACGCAGCGATAAGCACCCGCCCTGACGCTTCGTTATTGGCATTGGAAAAGCCTCGCCGAGGCTCGAGGATAAACTCATAACGAGGCTCGACGATACAATCGCCCTTCCGGCGAGAAAGCCTCGCTCATCTCCCCGAATACGTTTAATTAATTCCTCGTCCTTACACACCCTGCTCTCGTGGATGGGAGGGGAGGAGGTTGCGCCGGTTGAAAAGGCATTCAGGATGAAGCGGATAATACCCGTAAAGCGGGAGATCGTTAGTGCGTTTGGACCGATTATATCGCGTTCAAGCGTATAGAAATTAACGCTTCGCGTTCATGTGCGTAAAATTTACAGACTCTCCGAGTGTCGAAATTTCCATCGAACTCGAAGTACCAACGCTGTTTGAAGTTGAGCGAGAGAGAAAAAGAGAATAAAGATTAAGTGCCGATATATAGATAATTAGATATTGAATAATTCTCAAGTAAATCTTTGTTCTTTTTTAAGCCGTAACGAGACAACAGAAAGTAACGAATTATGAATAACATCAAGTCACGACAATAGCTTTTATATAATGTACGTATATATATATATATATCGCGAAATATTCCCCATTAGTTTCTCCGGCTCGATGAAATTTATAGGATTAACGTAGAATCAAAATAACAAACTCGGCACTTTAATGCAACCTGAAATATACAGGCGCGTCGAAATTGCCGCAAATCGATTAATTTCATATATCTCCGCCGCAGCGCGATATTCGCGAAAATCGCAACGCGAGTCGCGTGCGTTCGGAGGCGGCGAGGATAATCTTGCGCGCTTTGATCACACGTAGTTACGCAAGCGCTTTGTATCTTTCGCAAATTGTGTTGCATTAAAATAATTATGCGACTGCGCCCGACGACGGGAGAAACGCATGCGAGAGTACGTTCGTGCGTGCTTGTGAGGGTGGGAGGGCGAGTGCGTTACCGCGATTCTCTTGTAATCTAATTACCGATTTTCTCTCGTTATTATGCAATCGACGCGCGGCGCGGCCGCTCGCCTCATTGAGTTTCACTTTTGTCGGCGATACTAATTGGAAATTCTGTGTGTTGCGCTCTTGTGTGTGTCCTTTATGCGCATTAAATTCCCTGCTACCAGAGACTGGCCCTCGATGTCGGCTTGCGCCTCTGTGTCAGAGCTTGTTAAAACGTTACTGCGGTTGTAAGTAAAGCGCGAAAGCAATTAGTTCCCATTTGCAATTTGCAACGTTGTTTGATTTAGCTCGCAGAGCGGAACAGCGCGACGCGCGGCGCACGGGCCTTAAACGCGCGTGCTTAAGCACACAAATGACACCTGAATTAAATATTGGATTAGAGCGTGCGCTGCGAACGCGCGTCATTCGAGCACGTTCGGTAAATTAAGAACCGTCCACGAATGGAGCGATTCGGAAAGCCGGTTAAACTTCAACGCTTAACATGATGGAGCGGGCGAGTAGTAGCATTCTCGTCATCAAAGGAGAGCGATAGTCTACGCAGTGTTGTATCTCGAGGTTTTCTATTGGTGTTTCAAGTGTGACAAAATTTGTAGGTTTAACGGTGGAGCCGAAATTTCGACTCGGCAGCTCTCTTCGATTTTACTTTCGTTCAATTTGACGTCTTCGAAAAAATCGCTGAGAGATTATCTTTAGCGCGTCGGAACAAAGTATGGAACGTTCCCGTCGAGAAATTCGAACTGGTCGTCTCCATCAATTAGTATACGAGATACGCTTCGATCTTGTTTTTATTCAAATGCACGACAGTTTAATCGTGGCCTTTAGCGAAGATTTTACGACGGATGGCTAACGATGATAACACGAAGCGAGCGAATGCGGATTCGTGCTCGTCGCCTTGGGTCGATCATTTTTCATTACCCTCGGCTATTAATCACGCCGCTTTGATTGATTATAAGGCAACGACAGTTTGGCATAGATCGCTCTTATAAGTCGGTGATCAAA